TATTGGTGTGAGTGAGAGCGATTGAACGTCATCGGTGCGAGCAAGAGCGAATGGGTATTGACGCATCCGATAAGGATGTGGTATCCACCAGGAAAAAATGTGTAAAAAATCATTCTTATTGCGAGCGAGATCGAGCATACAGCAAAGGGGTTCTGAATACGCGAGGGGGTCGAGGGGGAGGGAGGGTGAACGGGCGTCGGCACGAAAAAACGCGCGAACTCCCTCAGTCGCCCTTCCGCTCTCGAGCTCGCAGCACCTTCGTCACGTCGCTCCTCGCGTCATGACGTCACGAGCTCACACACACATGCACCCGTGGGGATGGGGGCCGGAGAGGAAAACCGCGAGAGATGTCTCGTTATCAGCGGAGCCATCTCGTGTAGCGTTGTCTTCTGCGTTTTCGCTGCGGGCGTCTTTCTGCCTTCGCGTTTCTTGGATAAATCGTAGGTATCGCCATAATGCCTCTCTGTACATTTTCCATCTCTCACTTTCGTCGCGTGGCCAGTCAGAATTAAGAATACGGCCCATCTCCGCATCGAGTCGTGTTAGATGAGTTCCGGGAGTTTGCGCTGTGCTATTAGTGCTCGCTGTGTTATCCGAATTTTGCGGTACTGCGATTTCTTTTGACTCTCCGTCAGCGATTGATGTCGAATTCTGACGTAGCTGATGTTGTATTCTCTCGAGATTTTCCGTCGAAATTAAAACCATTTTTTTGGCCCTCTCCATAACGTTTTATCCCACTATTTCGTTCCTTCGATAATTAGCGATAATAAGGTCGATAATATAGGACCGATAATATAAGGTAAAAATCCGCCTCGCTGCACCAACAGCTTTCTTTTATCCTTCCAATTACCACGTTTTGCAACGATACGACGTAGAGGCGTTTTGAATTTGGTTAGCCGATTTTTTTCACAACGTTCGAGCGAGACGTTACCTTTGAGTGTATTAAAAACACATTCACAGATACAACGAATAAGTTTTTCGTTTGCGGCACGTAGGAAGGTCGTGCGTTGATTTTTGTTCAGATGATAGAGGGCCGCGAGAAGACAGGCGTTTCTTTTACCGATCGAATGTGTGGCGATTTTCGTCGCACTGTGCGATTTCTCGTCACTCGTCTTCATCGCGAGAAAAAACGTACGACTGACTGGTACTATCGCACGTGCTCGTCTTTTATACGAATCCGTTCGAAAATGATCTACGTGACACGTAGACGTAATGAGTCGTATCTTCGGGAAAAATACACGCTCGAAATCGATACTCGTCCGGGGTTGATTGTTTCAGATCGAGCAGCAAATAGCCGTGAGGCCTCGACGTAGCGTCGTAGTATGCCTCTTCTAGAAATTTCGGATCGTCGGAATATACTTGACGCGCTAAATGACGAATTTGAGCGCGATCACGTGGATTTTTGAAAACTACGATGTAATTCGCATTGAGATATATCACGCTGTCCACGGCCATGATGGAAGAGATTCTGCGAGATAAGAATAACGCTGAGATTCTTGTGATGACTGCCTTTAGTAAAAAGATCAACGATTGCGTTGCTCGACGAAGATTCTCTCATAAGATCATCGATTATCACCAATTTTGGAGAAAACGGTTTGTTCGAGTAATCTTCCGGACGAGGTAAACCCTCGCGAAATTCAATTATATTCTTCTTTATCGCCGCTTTACCGCTGTCGCTTCCCCTGCTCTGTTCTTCGTCCACTTTTACACGAGAGTCGAATTGTAACTGACGATAGGCTTCTTGCCACTCCGCGTAATAAAATAAAACTCTCTTAAAATTCACGTCGGACATAAGTGGTAAATGTCGGAGAAAACTCTTTACGAAAATCGTTTTCCTGCAACCGGTCGGCCCGCACACGATCGAAGTCCAGGGATGTTTCCAGCGTACGTCCATTTTGCGAAATGATCAATTCGATTTCCCGTGCGTGACTTCAAAAGTAAAAAGAAAAACGACGCTTAATAATCACGAGAAAGCAACGAAATTTAAGGAGTGGAGGGGGGGAAATAAGCTGACCCTCGCGACGGTGGGGCCCCCTCGCGGCGGGGGTGAGCTTACATCCGCGCAGTCCCGTTAGCAAAGAGCACCGCGACGAACAAAGCTGACTTCGTCGCTGTGCGACGCATACAAGCTTAACTTCCGCGTCAATGCTCACAATTATGAATAGCGTTTAATTGCCTCGCCAAGCGCGAACGTCATCCCGGAAGTGCATCATAGAGGGGAGGAGCTTATACGCGATGTCATTCAGGGAAAACTTACGTCGAAAAAAGAAAAGCGTTAGTAGGGAGGTGATTAAGAGACAAAAGAACCTTTTCCGGTTTTTAGGTATTAGATCATTTTTATTTATTATTCGTTACTAGATTTAAAAAGGGAAGAGGAAAATAGAGAATATTAGGTTTTAAATTTTATTTAATATTTAAATATATTTTACTTAGACTTATAATCATAATTCTAAATTACACAAACACAATATGTACATTTTATATTAATCCACTTAATAATAAAGTTAATAAAAAAGTTTTACAAAAAACATTGACATTTTATCTTGCATAGCTGACATTAATATTTTTACATTCTTTTTATATATACCGTACTTAAACTATAACAAGCGTTTGAGGTCGGAAAACTCATTAATGTTCCAAACTTAAAAATAAGAAAGAGAACCGATTCGAATAAGAAGAAGAAGAAGACGAAGAAGAAGAAGAAGATGAAAACGTTATTCGCTCGCGAAACCGTAGGGGAGAGAATAACGATTATTGATAAATCTTCGTTTCACCAATACCGGTGCGCACGTTTTTGTTTCATTTCGCGTTACGATCTCGTGAAACGCTGTGCGCCGGATTGCGCTAAAACGCAGATTTATATTACGTCGCGATGTTTCTTCCTCTTCTTCTTCTTCTTCTTCTACTCCGTACCTTTCTCTCTCATTTTCTGTTATTAATCTCCTGATACTATCGAAATTTACTCTAAGCGAGTTCTTATAATTAAGCGTTATTCCTTTTACTTTACAAATTTCATACAGGCGATCTTCCGGTGTACGAACAACGTACGCATAGAATTTCGGGCCAGCCGATACGAATAACTCGATATAACTATCACGGCCGTAGCTCTCGAGTTCGTCGATCATATCCCCCAAAAAATTTCCTGTACGTGGCTCGTACTCGTTCGGATCGCCTGTACTTATATATATACAGGAATCTGTATCATAATACAATACTCGCCTATTCAATAATTCTAAATGTTCGTATAATTTCAGTCGCGCCAGCACCGTCGTGAATGTCGCGATCACGACGTTGGTCTGCGGAGAAGCTACGACCGCTTCTTCTCGCAATCTCCACGAGACATATATTACCTCGTCGTTGACGGGTAATATATCGGTTATTTCGTGTTCTGGACTCATGAGCAAAGCTGCCAATCGCTGGTAATTTTTTACGATCTCGGTGTTAGGCAAATTGGATCGTTGACAGAATTTTCCCCAAAAGGAATTTAAGCAGAGCTTTGCAACCGAACGTAGACCTGGATTTCGAGCGATGTTATTTTTATCGAGAACGATACCTTCGGTTTTCTCGTATTCCCGAAGATATCGCTCCTTAGCTTCGTCATCCACGCATTCGTTCGGCCATCCGCTAGCTTTCTGCTTCAATTGTAAAAAAGTATTGATATATCCGGTAAACAATCCACCCTGCCGCGTATCGGGATCATATCGCGTGACTTTATATTGCCAAATTTCGCTCACTTCCGACACGCGATAACCTTTCTCGACGGCTCACAGTGGTT